GCAGCAGAAACAATGCTTAATAAGAAAACTAAATGACAAATGTAATTTATATCAAAAACATATATGAAGCAATATTTTATCTTATCTACATTACAGATCTTTTTGGTATGGAATTGCTGTGCAATAAAGTAAATGTTTTATTTTTGCTTAAAGTATCTTCCTTAAAAATGGTACATTAATGTTATTAGAACAGTAAAAATAAAAGAGAACACTTTCAGACTTTTACTTGCCAAAACCAAAATTTTCCTCAACAGGAGAGTATCCCAGTAGGTGCAGTGGTTCACCAATCTATCATTTTTATAACATAAGTAGGATCATTTAAAAATCCCAACCAGCTGGTTCCAGAAAGAGAGGGTCTCCTAAGTACCTATCTTCATCCATAAAGAGCTATAGCTCTAAGGTAAAAGCATAAATTAAGGTTATTTAGAGAAAACAGTCTAGAAATAGTTTGCATTCCACTGGGCCCTGAGGCAAGTGTGTGGATACATCACAAGAGTGGGTAAGGGTCCTTGCTAAACTCTTGGAACACTGGGGCTGGAGCAAGCTGCTAATATACTGACTGAATACACTACACAACTTATGTTTTTCTTCCTATTATATGGTAAAATTATTTTCATATTCAGATTTGTGTCCTTTTCCATGAAAAATTGCTCTTCAGTTTAAGTGGGAGGTCACACTGTGTTGAGTATTGACCTCAGATAACTCATACATCTCTCTCCAAGGATTCTGCCAGTAAACAGCTGCACCAGTTATCACTTAGACTGTCTGAACTGGATTGCAACGCAATCCTCTTCTGCATCTGTCAATAAACTCTGAAGAGTTGATATTTACTATTTCCTTTAAAGCTTCAATTTGTACCAAGCTTAAACCCCTTTTCACAGAAAAACACTAGAGATACTTAAAGCTATTCTCTGAGGAAGGCTCTTGATATGCTAATTCCATGGAGCAATTTCAGCTGAGATGGATTTTTGCATTAACGTAATTACCTGAAAATGCAGGTGACTTTGTTCAAGTTTACTGTCCTGATTTACATATCAAAGTCTAGATAGAAAAGTTATAAGGCAATCTTTGAAAACTTATCCATTAAAAAACTTGGGTTAAAATGAAGGAATTCTTAACCTTTTTAAAACCAAATTTAAGTGACTATATTAAAGCAACACTATAAAACCAATTAACCTACTGATGAGTTGTATATAAGGCAGTAATATTGGAGTATTAATGAGCTAATGCTGAGGAAAAAAATGAATAATTTAGCACAATGAGAAGTAAATGTTTTACAAATATAGAAGTCTCCAAGATAAATGCACATAAAGCCTGTGCATTTTCCAAATGTGGATTTGTAAAAAAGCTTTATATGACCTGGATCACACGATGCCACTAGGACCTACCTGCACTGAAGAGACAGGGGAACATCGTGTATAAATAAAAAAATATCATTTTTTCAATAGCTTTACATTGAAAAGGAAGTGACTGGAAAGTAATTTTGCCTAACATTGAAACAGATAGACACAAAGCAAAAGCTATTTCAAAATAGAAAAATATTAATTCTAAGACTATTAGCTTAAACAGGGAAGCAATGACAAATCAACTGTGAAAATTTCAACCCCTGGGCTATGAAGAAGTCTCAAGGAAGCTCATGTTTAATTTTATAGTCCTGTAAGAAAATGTAGATCCATTACAGAGGTTGTGGGTCAGCAGACTACTCTTCTCATTGCAGAATTCATCTGCATAACAGCCCCCAAAAGAAAGAAAATAAATAACAGCACCCCCTCAATATGTTAATTTTTTAAGACTTGACAAGTTGATTATTTTCTAATAATGAACTCAATACAGAGATTTGTCTATCAGGATTTCTTAGGCTCAGGCATATGCCACATTTAAATGAGGAAAAACCACAGTAGAATTACTCCACATCCTCCATACAAGTATCCAGAAAAACCAAAATGACACAGCTACCTGCTAGAAATGCTAGGAATTATTTAGTACTTCACATCTACCTTATATACACTTTCTATCAACAAAATCTAGACACTTGTACTGGGTAGGTGGAAGTGTTGAGTTTCAACCACTCTTCCCACGTCACCAGAGACACAAGGTATCTCCAGGGTCCATCCTCAGCCTCTTTGCCCTGCTGGTATCAAAGGTCAGGAATGTCATTCATTTGGAAAGGAAATGTCTTTGGATGGAATGTACTTAGAAGTGGTTTCAGATGTGTATGAATTAAAGACAAAAGATTAGACTAGTATTGCTACTACAGTTTCTTCTGCTAATTACATAAATGCATTCAGGTGTTGAAAGGTAATCACTGCTACCTCTCCTGTGTTTAAAGAAACATGAAACACCTGGATAGATATTGTTTATGAGTGGATATATTACTGGACAAGAAAAAAAACCAACAAACTCTGCCATCAAATTAAATAAAGAGAAAAAACCCACCAAAATCTAATATAAATTTATAGCCTTTTAGAAATACATTGTTATCTTCAGCTCAACACTATTACCTCCTAGGGAATTTTGTAGAAATATATTAGCCAAAATGAGAGTCAATTGGCTTTTATTTTATTTTCTAGTAGAGACCACTTGAGACTACCCTAGCTTAGAAAAATCCATATTTCTGTTGTAAAGGGCAAACTTACATTTATGCTTATTCAAAAGAAGATCCTATGCAGTTCAACATATAAAGGAATAAATGCTAATTGTTCTAATTTTTAAATGTATGTCACAGCTGTGCCAATCTTATTGTTTATACAGTCAGTATAAAAATCAGGCTTGTCTTTGACCTATCTCAGTTTGTTTTCCAAGGATTTGAAATTCATGCCTTTCTTCTTATACACATCTATTATATTCTCTTTCTTCTCTCTTAAAATACAGATCTTGATGTTATCAAAACTTTTAAAACTTTCAAAAGCTTTTCTGCAGAGAAATAACCAGTATAATCAAATTCTACAATTGTGCTCTCTTAGAGACTTTACCAAGTCTGTCAGAGTCTTGAACAGAAAGGCATTAGTAGCCACACACATCATTGAAATAAAATCATTCTCAGAGAGACATTTTAATTTACAAAATCAACACGTGTTTTTATAGAGAGTCAGAACGGGAAAATAAATTGAAGGGAATTTGTGTCATTTAATCTTTGATTTTGATCACTTACTATCAAGCCACTGTTACTTTGCCTTCTCTCTCTGTCGTGAAGTTTTCTGTAGAAAATCCCTCCTGGATTAAACTGAGTACTCCAAACAATCATGTCCCCTTGAAAATATGCATCCATCCCAGTTATCCTTGAATTATGTTCAATATGTGATATTTGCTGATGAACATCACTGTAGTTGAATGGATATGCAAAACCCAGGATGTCAGTGTCATTAGCAACATAGAGAACTTGATCTTCAGAGCCTAGGGATTATTATAATGAAACAAAAATAAGGTAAATGTCAACTAATGCAAAAATCAGTGGTTTTCACTCAAGCAGCTTTTTGGTGTTTATCTGATATAATTTCTTATGTTAAAATTATTTTCTGATTGATGAAGAATGCAAAAACACACTCTGGGCAATAAATGCAACTCTTGATACTCTGATTTCAATAAGCATTACCTCAGTGCTCTCTCCAAGCTCACGATGTGACACTTCAAACAATATTTTAAGCAGTATGTAATATAAGAATTTGAACACTTTTAAGCTCTATACAAAAATATGAGAAATCATGCGTTTAGCCCATATGAATCACTACATATTTTTATATGCACATTGTGTCTAGAAGGTCCTAAACATATATAATAAAAGAACACAAAGCTGTCCATGAGCATTATTTCAAATCACTTCATTGGAAATTAGAAATGGAATGATCCTTTCTTAGTGAAGGCAGAGAAGTTTTGAAATTAACTGCAATAGAATCTGTGCAGTTGTGTCTTGAATGCAGTGAGCATTCATGGATACCTGTGAATGGGTGGTATTAATGGATACCCAGTTACCATCTTGAGTTAGATGTTGTAAAGTATGATAAGAAAATTCTCTCTAGTATCTGTTCATTAAGTTTTGGGAAAGTTTCAAATCTACTGGACACATTAGAATGCATTTCCATTTTTATTATTTTTCAATTTATATCACATTTACCTATAGAGAATTGACCTATAATAATATCTGTCCAACACATTTCCTTCTTATGACATGTCAAAAATAATTTTCTCCCTCATTATTGATAAATGCAAGAACAAAGAGGAGTTTCATGAAAGAAGTATCAATGAGGGGAAGAGGGAAACATTAACTGTATTGCAATGGAAATGAAGCCTGTGAAAAATTCAGCTGTAGGACATTGATTCCCACATTTTTAAATTGTAAGCCCTCAGAATTAGGTCTGTGTTCCTCTAAGTAGAAACCATTAACCTCAGTTAGGAATGTTGTTTGTTCCCATGCCATAATCTGACTTCTTTATTAATAGCCAGTAATGCTAAACTCTGATAGAGTCCATGACATATTAATTACTAACGAGTCATTAATATCATCTTCCCATGGTAAATTTGCTTTAAAAAATATGGACAATGTGTTTAAGAAACCTGACTGCCACCATCTAACTACCCAGCATGGGTGCAGCTATGTTACTAACTGGGATGCTGCAAAGAAGGAAGAGCTGGAATGACCATGGTACAGTCTGTCCTGGTTTTAGGAAGTATGGACACAACATGAGCCACTGGCCATAAGGCTCAGGTCAGGTACTGTTGAGTTGTGCACAACATGTGCACAGAGATGGATTAGGAGGCACACCTTGTAACTTCAACACTCATTCTGCACTAAAGACTGCAAGTCATACCAAACTCTCACTAAACTGAGGTGAGATGTTGTCATCATACTTTCAGTTGTTCACATGTTCCATAAAGATTGTTAGCTTTCCTCAGGCAACTCTATTATTGCTTGTTTCTTGATTTAAAAGTGACATACTACCCAGACTTAATGACCTCCATTTTGTGTCTCTGCCTTATGAATGACAGGAATAATATCTATGTGTTTCTTTACCTTCACTGGACCATGCTCTAGGCAGCAGGTTTACATGAGGAGTATATAACCAGGTCATTACACTTAGAAAAACTGCACTTAAATGAATTCTGTAAGAGTTCTCAAAATGACAAAGCAAAACATGCTAACTCTAAATTCTACTTAATGTGTTCCTAAAATTCTAAAACATGTTTCTATGAAGGAGTTGATTATTTCTCAAGCTTCTAAGGCTTCACCAGAATGCTTACGTGCTTGCTAATGCATGATCTCTGTTTATCTTATTTGTGTGTATATTGCTGTAAATAGAGAAAGCTGGAGTTGGAAATGGACTTTCAAATGAAGTAAATTCATTTGCATGGAAGTGATAAGAATTTACTCTTTGCTGACATGAAAAGTCAATCTGAGCGATTCTGACAATTATTTCTGTGCCAAATTCAAGAAATATTTATCTAAAAATAAATTGCATATGCAACACATTAGTGTTACCAACCATGTACATAACAAATGATTTAGTGCTGTCTCTAGTTTGATTTTTATGGCCTTACCTTTTGCGATGCAGCTGTTATTCCTCTCCTTATAATTTTTCTCACATGCACATCTATATGACCCTTTAATATTATTGCAGTGCTGGGAACAGGCACCAAATACCATACACTCATTGATATCTATGAAGAAAAGAATTGTAATTTATATACCTGTAGTTTACTACACTACAATTTAACAAGTTCAAAAAGTCATGGAACAATGCAGGTGAACCAAAGGAATTCATGATCACTTTTATATCTTGCAAACATAAAAGGAAACTTTCAGCAATTATCACTAATGTTATTTCCACTGCAATCAACACATCTAAAAAGGATATTTTTCATGTTATTTCTCCATCCTTTGTATATCAACCTGTTATCATTCGAACCTGAAATCCACTTTGAGAATGAAAACCTCTGCTACAATTTTGTTCAACACAGCTAACCCTGGTACAGTCAAAACTACATGATTATCCTTTACCAGAAAAATTCCTCTTTATACTTTTTTCTTAAGAGCCAAACTACGAAGCATAAATACACTTTGACAGTCCCACAGGAGTGATCTGAACTTCTGTAAATTACTGCTCACCAGTAAGAAACGGAATTCACAACCCATTCTTTAGGAAAGCAGATTTATCTTATCTTTCCCATCAACCATTTCATTATAACAACTATGTCTTCTTGCTGACCAGCATAGCATCATATATAACTTCATTTTCTGAGGAATTTTACTTTCTGTTTCATTTCAGTTTTATTTTATGCATCTTCATTATTTTAAGCATCTGAAAATATTCTCATATGCCAACTGAAACACCGATCCCAACTGCTCAGTTAAATAATCTACTAGACCTTAAATCACCCATTTACCCCTCAAATCATTTAATTGTCTTGATTTGAACCTTCTGACATTCACAACCAATGTTAATCTCTGATAAATTCTCCAAGCAAAACACATGAATCTACATCCTATAAATCCTTTTTATTTTCTTCTTGATTTATTAATCCCATAGCTATGAAACATGTCATATACTTTTCCACAAAGTAAAACCTGTATCTCCTTCTCCAGCATAGAAAATTGATTACACAGGTGACTTTTAATACTTTACAGCAAGGAATGATGGAAAATATATGTACCTTCACATTGCCTATTCCTCCTGTTTCTCTGAAATCCAGGCTTACACTGACACAAAAGGGATGTTTTTGTTTGATTACAGTATGCATCATCTCCACAAGGATTCACATTATCTTCACATGTATATTCAGCAACACCTAAACAGAAACAAAATGTCTGAAAAATCCCTGATAGATTTGTTTAAACTGTTAAAAATTAAATCTAAAAATCACAACAATAACACATTCATCTTTCTGCTTAAAGAGTATCAGGTAAATTTTAAATAAATATATGACCTTACGGCGTTTATCTACCTATGCATATAAATTGACAGCATTTAACTGAGACACTACATTCCACACCAAGAATCCAAAACTAAAATTTTCCTTGTTGCAAATTTGAAACACAACACAATCAACTTATGGTTACATTTTGTCAAGAAGTTATAACTACTCTGAAAACCACTACAACTTGAATTGCTACAAAATTTGCCTTGCTCTTGGGTAGAGAATTAGCTCCCATTTTAACTCAAAGAAATAACTTTACATTCAACTAACTTCTGTGCTGTTGAGTAGGTTTTACATGGATGAATGTCTTGGTTAATTACTTCCTTTCTGCTACAATCACAAAAAGAGATCTTGTCAGCCAAACTCACTTATTTTGCAGTCTTGCTCATCTGAACCATCTCCACAGTCATCAAACCAATCGCACTGGAGCTCCATTGGAATACATTTCTTATCATTACAAGCAAACTCATCTTTTTTACACGGTCTTGCTTTATATGTGATTTTATCTATATAATTACAAATTAATAAGAGAGAAAAAAATCAGTATTTGAGATTCTTAGATTACTTTAGACACATACAAATGGGAATGACCACGAAGCATTAAGCAACTGGAAATTACTTCAAGCTTTATTTCTTTCAATTTCAAATTCTGATCTACTAACCTCCAGTTAAGCTTTACTGAAGGACAAGCAGATCTCTGTAACAAAGTTTGCCTTCAAGTTGTTTTCTCTGATCTGAATGCCTTGAAAGGTAATATCACCTACCACAGTGATCTTCATCCGAGTTATCACCACAGTCATCAACCTCATTGCAAATCTGCTCAGGTCGCAGACAAACCCTGTTGTTTCTACATCTGTAGGGCCTTGTTGGAGGGCATGGAAACTTTACTGTATATTAAAGAGAAGAATCAGCTATTACCCAGCTAGTATTAAACCTTCTTTAATGTCTCCTTATCAAAGCAATAAGCAGGCACAGGAACACAATTGTACTTGACTTATGAATGGTGCTTGATTTGAACTTCTGATACCTAATGGAAGAACACTTCAACAGTGTTGACAGTGTAATTCTTTCATTTAGGGAATAAAATTACTTTGTGTGATAAGGGTAATTTCTACCTCTTTTTGGGAATCAGTAAATATGGAAGAATTAGAACCAAAGAAGTAGGAAGTGTAATGATGATCAATATTTCACCACAGAAGTAACTTTTATCCCTCAGTTGATTTCCTACAGAAAAGACTCATTTCTCACAAATATCATATCTGAAATTACATGAAAAACAATAACTACAGAAAACCATACCCCACATTTCAAGCTCTAAAAGCAAAATCAACAAAACTCAGACATGCATACATGCGTCCTTATATATTTATGTATTTTACAGGTCATTTCTTGCTTTATTACACAAAAAGCACTGAAAAATATCATACCACACATTTCAGCAACTTCATCAGAGTTATCTCCACAGTCATCCTCACCATCACAAACCCAAAAATGTAGCTTGCAGAGAGAATTGTTGCACAAAAATTCATCAGCTCTACATATATTTCCCCCTGAGAAGACGAAAAGAAGACAGGGAAAAAAATGCAGGAAAACAGAAAGAGAAGAATGTCAATTTTTTATAAAACCAGTCCTACCACTTATGATATACTATTTGCAGAGAATGACACATGGAGCATAACTAAATGAAAGGCTGGGAGAGGCAGAGAGAAATACTGATTTCAAAATCTTTTCCTTGCCCAAACACTTCTTTCCTTTTCTTTTCCTGACTGTTAGGTAGGAATTACTGATTTGGCCTTACTAAAAAGGGCAGTTATCAAAGACACTGACAACTCACCAACTAGACATGCTCCCCTTGCATTTAGCCAGGAGATGTTTAAACTACCTGTCTGTAGGCTCTTTTGGTGATGCTGCCTCTCAGCAATGGCCTGGCTGGGTACATCAGTAATTTCTGCTATCAGAGAACAGTTGCAACCAGAAGACAGAAATACGGTCAAACCGTGAAAGGCCTTTTCAGTCCAGGCTTGTTTCACATCAATGTCTGATCCTCCACTTATTCCTACTCCCACTCTCTGAGCCACACATTGGAGTCACAGTCAGTGCAGTCTATTAGCCATGAAACAGCAGCTTTTTCTTTTGCTGACAAGCAATAGGCTTGGCCAGGCTTGTAATATCCATCTATAAATGCTGTAAATTAGGAAAGATCTAGCCATGTAGGCACAGGGCAGATAAGACTAGGTGACCTCTAGCAATATCTTCCTTCTTCTAGCTTCTGAAATTTCTCATTAGGGTATTTACTGAACACAGAAAGCAGCAAGAATAAATTCTTCCATGTAACTTCAGTACTGACTAAACTCTGACTCTTCTAACAGAATGGAACAGAGGGTGAGAAAAACTGCTTTAAGCTGAAGTGCCAAAGCTTTAAAAATTGATTCAAGTTGGATTCAGTTTTCATATGTGTAGTAACAACAAAGAATTTGTTTCACAATTATGACTAAATTTTATCACTACAAATCAACAAAGTTATGCAAACTTCTTGCAATTAATTTCCTACATAACACATTTTTATGGTAACTAGATTCTCAGTTTCCTTAGAGGAGTACAGTATAAAATAAATATAGCTGTGTACCTGCAGAGGAGGAAACAATGAAATTTTATATGATAACACCAAAACTCTCAGTGTGGCTTATCTCAGTGCATTACACCCACTCTAATAGTTAAATCAGGCTCTAGTGGTTTTTTACTTATTCATTCAGTGCCCTGTTCACACCCCATTAAAATCAACAGAAGGCTTTCTTTTGCTATAAAGGTTCAGAATTGTTCTTTTCCAGAAAATTAATTTCTGTGAAATACCCAAGGTGTAAGAGGATGTTGGGAACTCTCACACTATGTTACCAAATATAATTCACTCCCCTTGCCAATATAACTTATGAACATTAACAGAAATCTCCTGTACTATTGCCCAAGGAAAATATATAAAATTCAAGTACTCTTCATGATGAAAGACATGAATATAAATAATTGTGTGTGTAATCACAATATAGCCATCATTCTAGTAGTATAATAAGATTGAAGAGAGTTATTTTTATAAATATGCACAGTGGGCTACAGATAAATATGGATATTATTTTAGAATGCTGTAGAATAAAACTCCATTTGTGTTTGCTGCATTTCCAAAGCTGAAAAAAATTAGTTATCAGTGAGATAAACTGGCATCTGTTTCATGTGATTGCTCTGCCTGTCATAATTCCTTTATAAAATAGATTTCTGCAACAGAATCATAATTGTGACATAAATACAAAGTATTATAGCAATAACCAACTAGGCAAAAGGCTTCTTATTGCATTATAAGCAATTTGCAGTGTACAGAAGCTCCATTACACTACCCAAAGAATAATGTGGGCTTCAGATAAAATAAGCATGCTGCTATTTATTTGCACTTCATTGGTTTTTAAAGAGATACAGTCAAGATACTTTAAAAGCAGTTTTAAGATGGACTAGAAGTTTTTTAAAACTTTGTTACCTGTCTTCTTGCATCTAAACATATCTGGAATATTCTTCCCATTTTTTGAATTTTCTGGTCTCTCTTTCAAAATTAATCCTCTCCATAAGAGATATTTTTTTCTTTTTTCCTAGTATAAGTGTTGCTTAATAGACTTCGAACAAAATAAGGGAAGGATATTTTACTCTGTTTGCTTCATATCTGATTATCAGCACTTATTAGTGTGCTTCATTATGCTTTTGGATTTACACACATCTAGTGACTAACACAGAGAACTACTCAATTTAAAGAAAAGGAAAGAAAAAATCTGGAAAAAACAAGCTGACAAAGTGCTGAGTAAAAATTTGCTTTTGAACAAAAATTCTTTGAGTCAGACTTTCTGTGTTTGTCACAATTATTGCATTACTGTACTTATTAAGTGCAGCATTGTAAGTACCAAGTATTGTGCAGAGTTACACTGCTGCTGCCTGGCAGCTGAAACAAGGTTCAGCTAAAAAAAAATAAATCAGCAACAACTATGAGAATTACATGAACAGATGTGCTTCTCTAAAACATATTTGGAAGCTTAATCACAAGCATCAAAGTCTGAGCACAGCGTTCAGCTTCAAGTGATCAACTTCTGTTCAGAGTTCTGCTCCGCACGGAGAGTAAGAACTCAAAATGTGGTTTTATGGGTTCTGATCAGTAGCAGTATGTCATCTCCTCAAACATAACTACTTTCTCCTCCGAGTGATAGAGGACCCAATGAGCAAAGGTGCTGTGCAGGACTTTGATCTCACCAACGAGGGACTGGTGGAAGATGTGAAGCTCAAGAGCAGCCTGGGCTGCAGAGACCATGAACTGGGGGAATTCAAGATCCTTAGGGCAGTGAGAAGGGTACACAGCAAGCTCACTGCCCTGGATTTCAGCATACATTAGCCTCTTCAGGAATCTGCTTGGTAGAACCCTTAGAGGAGCCCAGGAAAATTGGTTGATATTCAAGGAACACCTCCTCCAAGCTCAGGAGTGCTGCACCCCAACAAAGAGAAAGCCAGGCAAAAATGCCAGGAGGACTGTGTGGCTGAACAAGGAGCTCCTGGACAAATGCAAACACAAAAAGGAAGGTGAAGTACTGGCACAGGTTGCCCAGAGAAGCTGTAGCTGCCCCATCCCTGCAAGTGTTCCAGGCCAGGTTGGATGGGGCTGTGAGCAATCTGGTGGAAAGTGTCCTTGCACATGACAGGGGGGTTGAAATTAGATGAACTTTAAGTTCTGTACCAATCCAAATCATTGTGTGATTCTATGAAATAAATAGAAAACTTAGGTCTTAAGAGTATTTATTTAGCAACTCTTCATTATATTGCATGACTGCAATTTATTGTTGCCTATAAAACTGTAAATTAACTGGATTTATTACCAATTTCCCTGATGAGAAAAAATATACTTCCAGTAACAACACAACCTTTTGATCACTGGGGAAGAAAACATAAAGAAGGAATAAAATGTGAGTTATAATCAATCTAAGCTCTTCCTGCAAATCACTTGTGAAGCTGCTTTACTCTCATTGTCAAAAGAGGTCACAGAGGTTTCCTTTCATCACTCAGATGAGAGGTGGCCAGGGTAGCACTGACTTACAATGTGTGTTAACAAACAGCCCAATAAACTAAGCCTGTTAAAGAAAAGTGTCTCTTGCCTTGGTCACAGTTTTCTTCATCACTGCCATCCACACAGTCGTGGATCCCATCACAAAGCCATCTGACAGGGATACAGTAGGCCTTATTTTTGCATCGAAACTGATCTTCTTTACATTCTGTTACACAATCCATCTGTGTGAATACAGACATGAACTACAGATTAATGAGTAACAACAGCAACACACTTCAGGCAAACCTAACAAAATTCTTACTAGAGTCCAAGTTAAATTGCAGTCACACATTTTACGTGTTTGGATATTCTTTGTGTTGCTTAGTATTAGTAGTGGAATCAATGGTTATGTTTAACTTTCTGCAGACAACTGCCTTACAAAAAATGACCCTGGACATGAGATCAGTCAGTGCAAACTGGTTCATACTCTCAAACCTGACTTCACCTGCACTGTGCAGCATTTGGTTCATGCATGCTTCATATTCTAACTGGCAACTTTGTGTTTCTGAGAAATAACAACTATTTTTGTTTGGGTTTTTTTTTGGCCTTGAAGTTGTTCACAAAGGTGGCAATTTTTAAAAGAGATATCAACAGTGCAAGATGTAGGAAGAGCATGGCATGAAAGCCCACGGAGGTTGAATTGCCTGCTGGGATTGTATTAGATGAAACCAGAAGTCAGAGGGAGATGAATTTGTCACAAACTTGTCCACTCTGCCAGTACAGAACAGTCCCTGATGAAAACTCCCCCAGAACCACGCACAGGTTTTGACATAGGGAAAACAAATTCATCTACTCCATGAAGTGGCAACAAAACAAACATAACACGGCGCAAAATCATGGGGCAAAGATATTTGACAGTGTTCAATGGATGCAAGAAAACATCATTCGCCCTTTTAATTACTTTAAGGCCTAAAACCATGAAAATATCACATCAGAAAAAAAGAAAGACCAAGAGAAATTTGTCAGCTACCTCATCAGATCCATCGGCACAGTCGTAGTCTCCGTTACATTTCAAGGCTGCTGAGATGCAGCCTCCACTGGCACACACGTACTCGCTTGAAGAGCAGGTTGGAGATGCTGGTTACAAACACATATTTTGGCATTAAGAAAAAGACAATTTATAAACAAGTTGCTTTACAAATTCACCTGTTCATCTGGTTAACACAGTGAGCAAACTTGTGTCTGTAGCTGACCAGAGCTTTTCCAAACCTTCGTGAAATACAATGATTTGACAAAATTGTTGCATCCTGAGCAAACTGTATAATGAGAGTGAAAGGATATTTGTGTTTTGCCATTTAGAAATTTCATTTTGTGTTTTCCTTGTATTTGGTAACACAAGTAATTACACACAAACATACATTCATAGCATGAGTCTAGTTAAAAATTAGATTCTTTAAAACGGGCTTAGAGTTGAGTCAAATTTAGCCAATTTATGATTAAATAAGCAAAATTTATAAGAAACCATGAATTTAGAAGGTACACATTATTACAATTAAGACAAATATCAATTTTATTTAGTACACAGGTGGATATTCTAGTCTCATAAATCAGGGGAGATTTGTCATAAGGCTTCTATCAGTTGCACCCATCTAGATGAAGCTTACAAATAATTTAGGAAAATTCCTGAAAAAAAGAAACTGTGTTCTCCAAGACAGTAAAAAGAAAATAAAATAATAACAACTAAAACCATTTGGTAGAGAAAACCTTTGCATAAGGACTAGTAAAGTTTGCATGAAGACCCCAAAGCAAAAAAACCTCCCAGACACACTTAGTAACACACCAAGATTTACTGATGCTTTCAGAGCAGAATTTTTATCTTGAGGATATATTATCAAATTACAAGTCAATATAATTAAATGAAATAGCATTCCCCAACAAGCTTCGTATTGCATAGCTCTAGGTAAGTTCAAAACATAAGAAGGAAGACAAAAAGATGCTCAAAAACTGAAGTACTTCAGATTTCTTTGCACTTCTTGCTACTTCTAGTGCCTGGGAATTGATTTGCCTATTTATTTTCTTCTTGCATTCTGATTTATTCCTTGCTTCATTTATCTCTCAGCATTAGTGAAAACAATACCTGGTTCACAGTTTTTCTCGTCATCCCCCAGTTTGCAGTCCTCATGACCATCACATTTCCATTTTGCTGATATGCACTGACCATTGGAGCACTGGAACTGATCCCTCGAGCAGCCTGTTTCACAATACCTCTGGTACAAAAGAAACAATGAATATCCAAGATCAAGAGTTTAATATAAACATTGGTAAATATCCAGCTGGTCACAGATGTTACAGCCTATACACTTCTCCACACTACAAAATACAGTCATGGCTTATGAAATGAAATATATTTGAGAATATGATTCATGAAAAGTGGTTTACACCCCTTCAAGTAGCTGGGAAGCATTTGAGGTTTAGTACTGGCAGGAAAGGAGAAGGGAAAAGAAATTACAGACAACCAGCAAAGTATTATCCAGTGAACTTCTGCTACACAGCAAACAAACCCACAAACCAAAACACTGCAGTGTCTAGAAAGAGGTTTTTCCCT